GGCCCATGGTTTTGAACTTCAGTACTTGTTCTCGATGCATTATGTGTGACTGGCTTGATTGTGTTTAAGTAAACTGGGGTTATCTTTTTCGAAAGCTTAAATATTGATTGTATGATAGTATCCACAACGAGCTTAGAGTGGCTACAATTCCACCTGGAGAATGTTAGAAACCTCTTGAGGATGTCTGCAAACACATCTAGTATGTTTATTCTTAATGTTTTAAAAACATGCTTGAATAATCACCCAGGCAACCAGTCATTGTACATTTAATTCCTATAGTGCAAAGTGGCAATAGGCCAATGTTAACTATACAGCGTTTGGATCGTAATTTAGATAACACATACACTAACAAATAGGCAAGATTTACCCAGAGAATGTTTAACTATCAAATTCGCCAGCAGTTGTGTAGCCAAGGACCTATTGTTGGATTAAGTGGTATTGCCCTCTTTTTTACCCATTTTTAACAGCATAGGCCTAGATTAAGTGAGGGGAGTGTTCATCTGTTAGAGTAATCATTTTATTTGGCAGAAAACAAACCTAGTTTGAAGAGTGAGTTTACAGGGAAAATATTTTTTNGAGGTAAGCGACGTGTCTGTATTCTGGTTGTATTTATCAAAAAGGTTCTGGGTTTGGATTTGTTTCTTAATAGTAACTTTATAAGAAAGCTTTTGAAAAATTTTGATGTCTTTATCAACGCTGTTTTAGATTTGTCTAATTCATGAATTCGGAATTACTGGTATTTTCATTGCTGTTCTAAATTTAAACTTTTCTCTCGGTTGTGTACGAATGACGTAAGGGTAAATGGTATCACTCTTTTTACCGTAGCCTTGAAAGTTTGGCGATTGTTTGTTTTCCTGTTTTCTTCTCTTTTCTGCACCCCGCAACAGGTCAATTCTCTATAGATTGAATTTTTGACGACGTTGTTGCTTATTTACCATTTCCATACTGTGCATGTCGGATATTCTTTCAAATGGCTACCGATATTTATTATCATCTCAGAGCAACATTTTAAGGCCTATTTTGTGTGCTATTAGATTAAAATTGAGGGCTAGGCCTGGGCCTATATATTCCCAGCCTAAAAAGAAAATTTTCATGAAGTCGCCAAAAGACCTCATTCACAGGGAAGCCAGTTTACCGTGTTCCCTTAATGTGTCTTATTCAATGTAATTTCTTGATGGGGCGGTGTCAGACTACTTTGGATTGCATGCTTCCTTTTCAGTTTTTGTTAAATGTGGCTCAAAACATAATGCATGACACATTTTAATTAAACTTATTCATCGGCGTTAAATGACATCAGTTTTAATGACGTTTATTTCACTACTTTCTGTTTTAATCTCAAGCTCCCAAAATTACAAAAGTGAACTTTGCTTTCAATTCAATATGGCCGACTTGGAAATGAGGCACTTTGTACACGTTTTCAAGCCAGCATTTGGGTTAGTTTGAGAGCTTTGATCAACAATACTTATCTTGTTGGTAAAACAGTCACGAAACAGCTCTGTGTTTGTACTTGTTTACAGACACTTCTCTCTAGTTTTTTTTTTTCTTCTTCTTCAGCCAAGTTCTTCTACCCCTACACTTCGGCTCCTAGGAAAATCAGAACAATTTCAAACTTGGAGGATAGTTGTGTGATCATATAAGGACGGTCCTAGAGGAAATTCACAGTGATAACTTAAGTAGTTTATTTATTATTGATTTTTTAAGAACTATTTTTCCCCCAT